GAGTCAAGATGTATCCCTGCCTGCCCTGTTGCCCCTGATGTAGTTTTCACGCACAGCATCACTCAGAAACCGAACCATAAACTGTATATAGACTTGACACTGTCTGCCTCCTCGCTGGGTGAATCCAATGTGAGAACAGCACCCTCTGGTGACGGGCTGTAGTATAGGTCATAAATCCCGCCTCCTCCAGCAATCCCTATGGAACCGTGACAAACTTCAGAAATTTATTACGCAGAATATAAATTTTTCTGCCCCCTGGTTGCGATGTTGACATGTAGTTATTGTAAGACTCAAGTCCTCTTTTTTCTGTGCAGCTCCGTTTTTAAAAGTTATTAGGGGGTTCATGTTTTCTATGATTGACACTTGATACAGCCTATGGGTGTAAGAAAATTCTGTAGCTCACCTGGGGGATACGCTGTTTGAGCCAAGCGTCATCACAGTGACTCTCCCGCTGAATGTGAATAACGCTACTGCGCAAGTGGTGGTTCCAGGAGGTGGAGGAAATCCCAGGAATACTGAAAGCAATCGTATTCCTGTAATTACAGCATTACAGCATTGGTATAATGACGGAAGGCAGAGCCAAGTTGTCCATAGTATATACAGTCTACGGTCCGAATAGATGTGGATTTAGTTTGAGTATTTTCATAAAGCTGTGGTTGGTTGTTGACACATTTTGAGTGAAAGGTTTCATTTTAGTCCCAGTGATTGGTCCGGTTATGCAAGGACTGGGATGTGTACCAGCTTGAAGCTTTGGAAGATGTATTAGCAAGATCACCAATCCATCCACTTCAAAGGTCTATATTTATAAAACGATTCATCTATAAAGGTCAGAAAGGTAAAAAAGTTTGTACCTGACAAGTTTCTGCTTCCTTGCCTCTGCAGCCTTCATCAAAGGTGTCACGTGATGTCAGGTACAAACTCTTTGGCCTTTCTGGCCTTTATAGACGAACTGTTTCATAAATTTATCATCAGCAGTCCAAACGAACCTCTTTAGTATATTCTGTAAAGGTCATCATAATTCATCCTTACCCCATAAAAAGTGCAATAAATCACATTTTAACGACTCATTCTCATCACTACATGGAAATATATTTGATCGTATTTTGTACGTGTTTGCAGTCAACATATGTTAGTCTCTAAACATGACAAATCACATTTTTAGAAGAAGAAAATAATTGTATACCCTATTGTAGCTGGGATCTATCTATGACGGGCAAACAGAGCAAAGCAAGCTAATCGCTGACAGATGATCCCTCAAATTGTTCTGCCTTGTCAAAAAATGCCGCTGTAGTGAAAATCAACAGTAGAGACCCACAGGGATATGAGTTCAGTTAACATTACTTTTAGACTACGCCACTGAATCATCATATTTAATTACTTTGTCCACCTTTTACTGTTTTTTCTTTTCTTCTCTTACACTATTTCAAACCAGAAGTGTAAGAAATAAAATCCAATTCGGCACTTGAGTAGACAGGACATAATCCATCTGAAATCTATAAGAGCACAAGAGAGAAGGTACAGACTGAATACATAGTGAATTTTTGGGATGTATCTCAGATTATTTCGGCCTGTTCTCACTATGGTCCTTTCTTTCCACCTGTTGAAGGTCATTGTGTTCTAGTCCAGCTTGTTCCTGACTCTAATTTACCCTCCTGGGTGTAGCCTTTTTGATTTTACAACACCTGCAAAATAAGATCAACATCTTACTCAAAATGAAGAACACTCCAGAAGTCTGGAGGCCCATAACCCACGATGAGCTGATCCATTTTCCTCTTCAAACTCAGTAAGTTTATTATGAGAGGCAGAGTATAACTCTGTGAAACGATCCCCGCTCCAGTACCCACTTTAACATAACAACACTAATGCACACTGACACTTGTGTAAATAGATTTCGCAACAATCCCTGTTGGTTGTTGACTGTCTTTCAAGCGCTGCTGCTGCTGTTGTGAAATAATCACAGCGCTCATAAATAGTTGAGAGGGGGGAAGAGAAGTTAAACTATTATTAGTATTACCAGTGTGGAGAGGATGTAGGACTACGTCGAGCTCCCTTTGGAAAACAAACAAAACAAAACATGGAGCACATGTGCTGCTCTGACTGAGGAGACGGGAATCTTGTCTTGTTTTGTTGGTTGTGTTACACTCAGTACAGCTTGTTGTATACCTCCATTTGTTTCAATTAGGCAGACTTAAAGCGAATGACTGTGCAGGAGTCAAGACTGATCACTCTCTCTACTCTTCACCATTATTGCTATTGTTAGTCGTAGCCAACACACGCACAAGATGAATAAAAATAAGCCAACCATTGTTTTCAACTTCAGTTTGAACCAGATGTAGAGCCTCAAAAAGCAGAGGGTGGCAGTCCTTCAGCTAAAACACAAGACATGACTAGTATTCCACAACTACTATAATAAAAATATCAATCACTAGTTTTACAAACTAAATATAGTGTAAACAGGTGAGTTACATTCAAATTCCAACCTGTACACAAACAGGTAAATAAGCTACAATAACTCAAACTGTTTCTCTGTACCGGGCTGTGAACCACAGACTGGGCCTTATTTAGATGATCAAAAACACATGGTTTATCAGGACATTTCACTTTCTAAATTGACAAACACAATTTACACAAGTGGCACAGCATCATTGACTTTTCAACCTGTGTATAGTTTGTGAAATGCCGACAGTCTAAGATATGATCACATTAAAAATAGTAAGGCTTTTAATCTTTACTTTTTAGCTGGTGGATCACATGGCTGTATTTTGAAGCTGCATGTAAATGTGCATGTATTCAAGAGTGCAAGTCAGGAGAGCTCAGTGATGGTCTTGGTCTGGATTATTTGGCAGGTGGAGGACAAATAATTACATTGCATTGCACGCCAAAATGCTTTGTGCCAGATGTATACAAACCTAAGGATGTGTATGAACGTCCACCCTTACACACACGCTGACTTCGAGACGCACTCCCGCTGAGTCCGTGAGGGGCTTAGGGCTGTCCCACTGTCAAAATGTCAAGTGTGTGAGGGGTCTCTGGCAGACTTTTTGAGCCCTTTCTATATATGGACTTAACATGAAGGAATTATCCACAGTTCATAGCACTGTGATGTTGAAATATAGGATTCTCAGAATATTAATTGTTGGTGGGTGAACAAAAAGTCTCAGCCTCGTGACTGTTTGAGAAAAAGACCTCCAGCAATGTCTTTTAAAGTAAAGCAGCCCGTATAGTATAGAATAATTAATAAGAGTGGTATCAACCTCTGCTGTTAAGAGCATGGTAACTTCACCAACACTAACTTTTCTGAATAAATAATCAGAGCCTTGAATAAAAAAAAAATATATAAAAAAATCATCAACATTACAACGGTCTCTATCAGTGAAGATATCCTGGTCCAAATGCAATAACTGTTTGAACCTGAGCATATACATATATACCTGCTTATTCCTTTCTTTCTTTCTTTGTTTGTTTCTTTCTTTCATCAGTAAAATGATAGATATACTACGGAAGCATATTGTATTTACTTACAAAAAAAATAATAAAAGGAAACTGTTAAAAGGAGCATTTCCTTTTTCTTTGCTGTTTTTTTTGGACTAATTTTTTTCATCCTTCTGTCTTTCTGACTAATTTTTTTCTTCTGTTTTGTGTACTACTATTTTTTTCCGTTATTTCTGTTTTTGAAAAAAAAAATTATTCTGTTTTTCGGACAATTTTTTTTTCATCTTTCTGATTTTTAGGTTTTTTTTTTAAACTAAGTGAGATACTTCAAATTAATATGAACAGTTTGTCTGACAAACAAACAAACAAACAAACAAACAAAACAAAACAATTACTCTGAAAAACAGGAAAAAATTAGTATGAAGAACAGAACAAAAAAATTACTTGGAAAAACAGAGCTTTTTTTTTGGTGAATGCAATACGCTTCCATAATATACTAAAAATTATTGAATAAAAAGTACTGGCATGTACCAGTTAACACTAAGAAAAAATTAGACCGGTATGATTATTCAGTATCAGTCAGAAGGCATGTTTCTACATAGAAGTATGTGTGTCTTCTTAGGTTGCCCTCAACTATTTAGCAACAACGTACAATCCAATCCGTCAGTATTTAAGATGTAATTGGTCACCATAACCTACTTGACCTTTAGCACCAAACTCCTCTTCAACACTCTCACCATCTTTGTTCATTTTTAACATTTATAATTCAGTCTCATTGCTCACATTCCTTCATTTTTATCATCGTATTCTGATTTCCTTTTCCATCAAATGCTCCTCTCGTCACACTTGTTTCCATTATCTTAATTGTCACAGCAATCATCACCATTAAATTTCAGCATCGTTATTTCTCCTCATTGTTTAATTTCATTACCATGCTCATCAACATTGTCTGTTTGGGCTCATAACGATGATCATAACTATCATCAAAAACCATCTTTATCATCATAATCACAGGTTTCATCAGTTTTTTCCTGAATATGAGTTTTTCTCTGTTTCCTCTCAGATGGTTTCCAGTTTGTTTGCAGATGAAAAAGCAGCAGCAGAGTGGCTGCAGAGAAAACACATTGATGTTCTGTCTTTTCAGTCAACTTTTCCGTTAACTTCCACTCTCTGACTGTTAGCTCAACTTGTAAGATTCCACTCTCTCTGGAGAGGCTCTGATTCCATTAGCTGCTTGTAGAGGTGAAACTCCTCTTTTCTTTCTCCACTTGTGTGTGTTCACAGTATTAGACGCATGACTCACCTGTTGAGTTGTGAACTCGAACCCCCGGGCCACCAGTGTGTGGATGTTTATGTGAATGAGGGAGTTTTGGGGCTGTGAATCAGGTTGCGTGGCTGCGGCAGCGCTGGATCCAGGCGCTGTGTTCGGAGGCTGTCATGAATAAGAGATAACATGGTAACACAGGAGAGCGCTCGCTGGGACTTGGCGGTATTACAATGCAATGAAAAAGAAAATCAGGTCAGGCCCCTGTTGCCTCTGTTGTGTTTGAGACTGCGGGTCAGAGCGAGGGAGAGGGTAAGGAGGAGGAGGAGGGAGAAAAGGAAGAGTAAGGAGGGAGTCTGAAATGATTTGAACACAAACAAAAGATCCCGAGCAGACCAAACCTCTCTCTGCTTTTGGAAGAAAACTTTTAGAGTAAGTGATGACGACTTTATACTGCAACTTTACAGACACAGTAAAGTGGAAGAGAAAGTTGTTTCACCTACAGAGAAAGTTCAGAGTTTTTAAGAAGTGAGTTTGTATGACATATTTATCTATACAGAGTCCATTGTTAACAAAAAACATCTTTCAGCTTGACTTCTGTTTGGAGAAGCTTTTGTCAGAGTACTGCCTCACAAGGTAGGCTGCTAATGGAAGATGAAGTGGTTTGGAGCAAAACACATTCAGACTAGAGCTGTTTGGTCCACTTTAATCAAACCTTGGTCTGTTTCCTCCGATAGTCTGGCTTGTTCGGAGTGGTGTGAAACCTCATTTGAACTCTGGTGTGGACCAAACATGAACTCTTCCAGGCCAACCTTGGTGTGTGACGCAGAGTTCTCTCTCAAAAATTCAAAAAAAAGTGGAAAAGACAGGCGCAGTCGAAAATACGGTGAGGGTGAAATTTACTTATAGTCGGCTCCCAAGGTACAGTGCAGAAAAAGTTACAAAAAGGTGCAAAAATTGTCAAAATACTATTAACAAAAAATGTACAAGGCAGAAAAACATCCATTCATTTATTCATCTCACCATCACTACACAGCAGTAGTGATGTGTCCTTCAGTGCCGAGGCTTTAAAGAGTGTGTCGAGTAATGCAGGGGGCGTTTCTGCGAGGCGCGTATCGAGGCTTGCTTCACAATGCTTCATCGCCTCACTACCCGGCTGTACCACGTGACTGATACAAGAAATGCTTCGCGGGTTTGGCGGATGATTTAACAGACAGCGAAACGCAATGGAGTCCTCCTCCACTCACAATCCATAGGTTCGAGACTTGTTGAAAAGTTGTTTTTAAATAAATATTAAATGAAATGTTTATGTTTTATATGTTGTCCCCGTAACAAAAGTACAAACAACAAACTAAGTAACACAAGCACATTCGCATCACAACCCTCTCCATAATTGATGTCCTCTTCTCTTTTTTGACACTGCAACTGTGTCTTAAAGACAGATATCACATTAATACTGTAACTTCATCATTTCTGTATTGGTATCACAAACACATGGCATCACATCCATTCATTTATTCATTCATCTCACCATCACTACACAGCAGCAATACAGAGGAAATCAGTTCAGCAGTTACCTTCCTTGCAACCAAGTCCACACTCCTCGAGAAGACCGGGCGGCCTTCTTTTAAACCCCCCTAGCACCTCCCCTGGGCACACCCATAAACAAATTATAGGGGTTTAAGACATCATATGCAAAATACGACACAAACTCCTCAATAAATCAGACATTTCACCTTAGACAAAAAGGCACTAATAGCCCTCCATACAGATGTGACTTAATCATTGAAAACACATTCAATCAGACAGAATATCACAAATGAACTATAATGGTATGGTCCAGTGGTCACACGACCCCCCAAAGCGCGCCACCTTGCGCTACTTACTGTGGGACCAGGAAGTGCTCTGGTTTGGCTTGGAAGAAAGCAGCAGGTAAGTGTGTGTGTGCGTGTGTGTGTAATTGTCGAGTGTGCACCCTTTACCTTATAGTGAGGAGAAAAGAGTCCAGATAAAAAGGGAAATAGTTGGTTGGAGTTCAGGGGACACAGGTGCGGGGAAACAGTGTAACAGTTTGAAGAAGCGTGGCTCCTCAGGGAACGAGTGCGCTCCGTGCGCGCTCCCGGCACCGGCACTCAGGCCACGAGAGAGAGACCCGCGCCAGTCGGGGAATGACGGGGCGTTTAACGGCGCTGCGTCACAGTGTGATTTAATTGAGATGTTAGAGCAAAGCAAATCAACTCAAAAACCAAAGGCAGGAAGTGGCTTAAACCACAGTACATCTGTGGTAAAGACGTGCGTCATGTCAGTACCTCTGAACTTTTTCTGGAGCATTAAGAGAAGATCTACTGTGAGGCAGTACTATTGTAATGCATGTTAAATGTGGTTTGGCATTTTCTCGCTGAAATATGAAGGTCTTCCCTGAAGAAGTCATTGTCTGGATGGCAGCTCCAAAACCTGTATGTATACAGCATTAACTGTACAATCTTAGATGTGTGAGCTACCAATGACACAGTCATTTATGCATCCTCATACCGTCAAGGATACTGTTTAGTATTAACAAGCTGAGCAGTCATTGTCATCATTAGAGAGGATGATGTGGCGTCCATGACTTCCAAAAATAGAGTCAAGTTTTGATTAATCAGAGCACAGGATTGTTTTTCACTTGAGCTAACAGTTTCCACTTCGCATTGTACAGTTTTGATCTGTATTTGTGGCTGCATCCTCTAACTGTGCTCACAGAAAATTGATTTGTTGGTGATTTTATGCCTATATGGTGGTTTCCACTACAGAGTCATGTCTGGTTTGTTTTATTTGTTCCTCAGATATTTCATTGATGTCATGTACCGTTGATGATCAAATCAACAATATGTGGAAATCTCATGCTAAGGAACATTTTTTTGGAACTGTTGAACTATATAGTGGAACTATATACTCAGACGGTTTCTCACATAGTGTTGAGACTGCTGTTTTTATACACAGTAATGGTTTGTAAATCAACCTTATCAACACAGAGATGCTCCTTTTGAACTTTTTCAGTGTTTTGTCATCCCTGTTCCAACTAATTTTGAACTTTTTGTCAGCAACAGCTATAAAAAAGCATACCTGCAGTCTGTTTTTCTAAGTTTTTACCTTTCATACATTATATTTTCACCATTTTCAATAACATGTAGGGTTCCGGTGATTTACAGAATATCAAATTCAATTTCTTTTTAGATGTTTTAAACAGCATCTCAACTTTTTGGAATCAGGGTTGCATCACAAATGGATGCGACTTGCATTTTTAAGTGCCCAGGTATAACGTAAGATATGAATATGAGGAAAATAGATAAATAAAAATTGATCGAGTGATGGCACACCTAAAACGAGTTAGATTTTTCTCGGTGGTCATAAATAAGTTGTAACTGCTTATCTTCTGTGTCAGTACTGCGGCTGCGTCTCCAAAGCCCAGCTTGCACTACTAGAGTTATTGAAGTGCATCATATCTTCCCAAACTATCTCTTTGAATCACAATGTGGTTGTCCTGAAAGTCAACCCTGGAAGCATGCTGCTTTTATTTGAGCAGCAGGATGGCCTTTGGCTTTGAGACGATCAATTCCATCCCCTCTTACAAAAAGCAAGACTTTCTGCCTCTCTCTTTGTGATGGCCAAGCCCAGACCAGAGGGCGAGGGGAATATACCCTTAATAAAACTGTAATACTGTACTTTTTGCGTTCACAAAAAGTGTTTCTTAGCAGCCCTGCCTTTTATGCGATTCAGAAATCTGCATTAATTTTCCATGTCCATGCAAAGATGATTAATAAAAGAAGTCTTAACTGAAATCCTTTGGGGTGTAAACAGTGTAACGGAGAGAGATGCCGTGCAGAAAAATGCAGTTTACAAGAAAAAAGGAGAACATCAAGTACGCCAAGAGATGAGCGCAGGAAGGAAAACTGTTTGTGAAAGACAAAATGTCAGATTAGATTATGAAAAGCATACAGAAAAAAAACAAGGTGAAGGTTTGGAGGCAGGAGGTTAAAAGTGTACACTTTAAGGAGGATGATCAGTTGAATGAATCCCCAAAGAAAAAAGGGAGACTTAGACAACGAGGGGAGTTCCTGTGGGCAATAAAAGAGAACTAAAGGGCATAAGAGAAAAGAGAGAAAGGGAGGAGAGGAGATGTTTGGAGGAGGAGAGCTGCAGCGACTGCCAATGCAGCAGGAAGAGAGTGTGCGAGGGCACAATAACCCAAAGCGAACCGCAGATCTTTGATAACTCCTCAGAACGCCAACTTAGTGGTGAAATTGAAGTGAGCTGGCCTGTGTTTGAAGCAACACATGCTGTGCCTGGAATGCCTAAGGAAACGTCTGGGCCGATAATTAATGATACTTCAGTGGAAAGGAGACAGGGCGAGGGGACTTGAATCAAACCTCATGCTGCTGCTGTACTTTTAAGTGTTCACAGGCAGCATGCTCTAAATAATGAAGGGCAGATCAGTGTCTCTGCGGGTCCAGAATTCAAACAGCACAAAGTTTAACCAACCTTCTCTATTAAAATCCCTTTACTTTCACAGCCTGTGTGCACAGAACTGCACAGTGGTGTTACAGATCTAGATGATCTGCAGGAATCAACCCTCAGCTCAGTACACATTAACCTCTGATGGGCTGAAAACATCCAAACAGTGTGAAAAGGGATTTTAATGTTGATAAACCTGGAGTTGCAGTACATTGTTGTTTAGAATGGGTTTATGTGCTTTTGAGAATAGGAGTCGGAGAAAAAATCGATACAGCATAGTTTTGCGATATTTTGTCTGGTGATATATCGTATCATCTCATTTACCAAGTATTGATTTTTTCAAATTAATTGCTAATATGAAGTCAAATCTATGATAATGAAAAAAATAAAATCAACTGTTTGTCCAGTGAGGTTGGCAGAGGTGACATCATAGAGCAGGAGAAAGTTGTAAGATGTGCTACAGGAAAATAAAATACAGCATAAATTAGACAAATATAAAGGAAAGCCAAATGCTAAATTAGCAAAACAGTTGAAAATTTTTATGAATCGCAATATATTTTATGGCAATACTCACTGTATTGTAAAATGTTAAAAATTGCAATAATATTGTATCGTGGCCCAAGTATTGTGATTATATGGTATTGTGGGGCCACTAGTGATGGCCCCTACTTGAGAATAAGAGTGGCTAACATTTAAGCTAGGCTAACACTAATGTTAAAGACATGTACAGAAACAACAGCTCTGATTCTTCAGTCGTCCTCCTCATCACTAGCCTTGCCTCCACAGGGATGGGTCCACACTTGGTTTAGAGCTGATTTGGACCAAAAGACAATGTAGATTGGTAAATTGAGAGTTTTTGCATTACTGCTAATGCCGTACCAATCTGACTGTCAATCAATTTGGACCCCTGAGGTCCATACCTTTGTTTGGGGCAAGACAGGATAGTCAACCTTTTTCCATCAGAAAACTTTGGCTTCATGGCTTATTCTAGGGCTGGGTGATATGGCCTCAAATCAATATCATGATATATTGAGCAGTTCACCTTGATAACGATAAATTGATGATAACTACTCCACAAGCAGCTCACCCCCTCCCACAAATACTTCGTCTACTTCAGCTACCGCTCTAGCCACTACAACTTTTGAACTGTCCACCATCTCCTCTCCTCTCTTTCCCTCTTTGTTACAGACTGGATGGGGTGGAGTCACGTCTCCGACGTAGGACAGTGTCTTAAAGGGACATGAGACCATAGCCTACCTACACACATCTAAAACCAACTTTTATTTATTTATTCATTTTTTTGTCACCGAATATATTGACATGGGGAAAACAGCGTTGGTTATTGTCGTAAATTTCAGTATTGATAAATTTTCAGTTTATTGCCCAGCCCTAGCCTATGCTTTGCAATATCAGCTCTAAAAGTAGAATAGTCCAATGTACAGTTACGATGTAAAATCCACTGATTTTGTGAGACCGTCAGCTTTCTGGTCAAACACAAACAAACAAGTAAACGCATAAAAGGTGTAATACTTTGAGTTTGTAAGCAAACATCCTTTACTCAGGTAGTAGTCCAGGGTGATTTGGGGATTTTGGTCGTCCTTGTTGCTATCAGCTCTATGTCCATGCGTTGATCTCTCCAGAAGCACATTTCGTCTGTGTGTTTCAGTGAAAGCAAACTTTGATGAGAATCAAACTCTTTCTCTCGCTGTCAGAACTGCAGGAGCAAGTGCAGGTTTGTTTTTCCTAACTGTTCACACCACAGTCATCTGTCTCTTCAGTGACTCCTGACCAAGCGTTGATGGCGTGAAGAAGTTGTCACACATGATGGTTCACCCCTGGAGGCCTTCTGTCATCTTAAGTACCACATGCTTGGCCTGATTTCTCTCTGGCTGTCCATCAACAGGTTTGTCAGAGTAAAGTCGCAGGCGAGGCTGGTCCCGGCATTACGTGTCACTTAGATTTTTAGAGCCATCCTTGCATAGTTTGCTTGGCGTGTTCTGTTTGAAGGCACAGTGACTCCTGAGGGAACCAGACCCTCATTTACAGTCAATCTGCTCCAGAGTTGTAGATCAGCTGCAGGCTTATATGCCCACTTGTCCTATACAGAGCTGAAATAGGACAGTAAATTTGTGGTGTATCGTTATTCTCTTTTACTTTTATAAGCAAAACTAATGTGTTACCAAAAATGAAAACCTCAGGGTGCTTCGCTCATTCTCCATATTGGTCATTTTGTCCAGATAGTGTGTGGCCAACAGTGTGTCCTCCTTTAGTGAGTTGAGAGAGTATTGACTCTACAGTATGAGAACCTACATACTGTGTCTGCATGCAGTGTCTGTCCCTGGAAGGAACCAAAGAAAGAACCAAAGGATTGTGGTTTTTCTGAAACTTTCACCACTTTCTTGGCAACTATAACAGGATTAAAATGACTTTGTTTATCGAAAACCTGAAATGACTGGTGCATTGAGGCATTAAATGAAATATGAATGGATCCACTTGTCAGAAATATCACCAGATAATTGTCATTGGAGATTTCCTCAACCCTAACCTGCATTTATTACGTCCTTCAGCTCATTTGTTTTTGTTCCACAACCTGTAATCTTACTCTTCAGTCCCTGCACTATAATCAAAAGTAAAGCAGGCAGTTTCAAGTGCACGTCAGTGATTAAGAGTGGATCCTAAAATAACAGGCAGATGCACACTATTTAAACTGCAACCTGTCGTATCTTCACTTCTCTACATAGTAAACAAACTTGCCTTAAGGTGAATCAGAGAGAAACTATGAGGGTCTCTGATGGCAGGCTGTCTCCTGAAGGCAAAATCCTCCAGCAAGGCTAGAGATACCTCAGTGCTAATCTAATACACAGAGAAAAAGACATCTATGTGTGATACAATATAATGAGTGAACTGAAACAGCTTCAACCTTGAACTCTGTTATACGCTTAGACTGAAGATGGGCATCTCTTGTATGCTATAATAAACACATTTGGCAACTACCAATGGGGTATGATAACATTTGAACCCCGATCACGAGTTGCCATATTGGAAATGCTGACTCAGCCTAACTTGCTAGCCTGCTTGTCAGTCAACTTTAGCAAGTTCTCTTTGCTTCGCCAATCTTGTTTTTTTTTTTTTTTGGTAAACCAGGCTGCAAACATATATTTCAGTGGCTTAATGCGCACCTGGTGTTAACTGTTTCTGCAGACAGCCTCAAGTGGACACTTGATGAACTGCAGTTTTTCGCACTCCCACATTGGCATCATTTCTCTAAACTAGAAGTTGTCGCTTGGATTCAACACGGTCTGATTCAAAAAGTGCGGATCATTGTGGTCTGATGATGTTATAGGAATATGCAAGGCACTCAATTTAGTTTTTTTCTTAATTAACCAGATAAACTAACAACCTTTCTTTTTTTTTTCTTTAAGTGATGCGAAACAGGACATAACAGGTTGGGGGTAACATTAACACGCAACATTGGAAAATTAGAATACCATCTAATAAAAGTAAAAAGAATAATGCAACAGAGCAAAGGGACAAAGCTAAAACAAAATAAATGAAATTGAGAAAGAAAAAATAAAATATATTCATAAATATACACATAGATATAACTCTTTTTTTGTCTCCTAAATTTCCATCCTTTCATTTATTTATTTTTTTCTTTCCTTTTTTAATTTTTTTTTTCTTTCCCCTTTTTCTCCTTCCCCTCACAAAACTCACAACCTTTCACGAGCTGACCTTTTTTTTGTTCACAACTCATGTATGAGTGTAATCTGTCTGTTTCAATTTAACAGCACTTTAACACCGGGCTTGCAGAATAAAAAACATTTTAACACAATATTCAAATCTCTGAATGTGCTTCACACTCTTTCAGCAGCAGGTAGGTTCAGCAGTAACAGCATACAAAAATGTCTGTATTATTAGCAGAATTAAAAAAAGAGCTCTTCTTGCTTCTTGCAATTGTAAAATTCAAACCAGTAGTAGCAGTTAAAAGTTAGTCATCTTTACAAATGAATTTAAAGGAATATTCTGGCATAAAATCAAGTTAGGATCAAACACACCGTAACACCGAGTTGCCCCACCGAGTGGCTTTTAGGTTGGCGTATGGCTCTCTGTATTGCTATCGTGCGGTCTTTACTAAAGTTGGTATAACTAGAGAAGCAAGCGGTCGGCAACATTCATCTTTTGACGGGGTGTCTAACTTGGTGTTATGGTGTGTTTAATTTTACGCCGGAATATCCCTTTAAGAAGAAGTCTCTAGCCAGCAGGAACTTTTAAAACTTTTCTCACCAGCACCTGCAAATAAATCCGTGCGGTACACTGTCTGACACTTTAATGGTCACACCGTGTCACTGCTTCATGAGAGTCTTAAGGTTAGTCCTACTGCCTGTGTGAACTCCCACCCTGACCCTTTAATATTCAAGTATTTGAATCATGATTTAATAAACCATTCATCAGCACCACCTTACTTTCTACATTAGAAACATCCTTGTTTACAGTTTATTGTGGCTGGCAAAGGGAATATTGTTAATCGCAGAATATGTCTGCTCTATATAATTCATTTTCTATGGTTCATTATAAATCACACTTAATTATTCATGTTAATGCTTTTTGGTTTTTTTTTGCCTTGGTTCTTACTCCCCCACACTCACACAACTGAACCTCTGCCTTGTTGCACACACCTGTCTGCATGTCTTTAGACTGTGGGTGGAAAGAGAAACCCAAATATGCAGGAAGAAGAAGCAAACCCCACATGGAAAGGCCAAATCCTTCTTGATACAAGTCAACAGCTCTAACCATTGAACCTCTGTATGGCCCATTACATCAGTATTTGTAGGCGAATTAAGAAAAGATAAAGTCCTGATGATGAGGGGTGTGTGGATTTTGGTACCTAAAGATAAATACAGAAAACAAAGAGTAAAAGAAGGTTGTATGTGTCACTGAGTGGGTAGTATTTTAAAAAGTTAGACAGTAAAACTCCATCAAAAGCTCCTCTCCTCTTGCATTTGCTGTTACAGCTGTGAGTCACTCACCTCTCCACAGTCGTATCAGATATGAGTGTTCTCATTTTTAGAACAAGAGTTATCTGCAGGACGGACTGAAGGGTACACTCTCGAACTTTCTCTCTCTCTCTTTAAACACCGTCTTGTCAGCCCTCCTTCACACTAATCTGCGATGGTTGTGTTTGAGCAGAGAGGCGGTTATTCCTCCTGAACACACACACTCAGACTGACGGGGGCATTTGTTAGACTGACAACAGCATTAGGCCGCCAGTGTCCTTGTAGGTTTTACACTGACGCCGGTTAGATGTGTGTGTGTGTGTATGTGTGTGTTAGCTTAGAGACGTGACTCCAGCGCACACACACAAACTCTCAGGAGCAGGCTGCTGTGCGCTTTACAGAGCCTCCCTGCAGGGCCTGTCACCAGAGGAGCGACAAGCGACCTGCCGGATGCTAATGCAGCATTTGGCGGTGGAAAGGTAATGATGTAAATCTCAGCGGGTCACAGCATTGACGCACACTTCAAGCTTTGTTGTCCAGCAGCACCTAGCCCCTCCCTCTCCTCCTGCTGTGCTTTGACTTCTCTGCTTCACGGGGCTGGTTTTAGGGGTTTCTTGGGTAACACTTTTCATTGTGTGCATGTCTTTTTATGTATGAGTAATTATTTCTCTCCTTAAGCATTGCAGTACTCGTAGCCACATTGCTCTCTCCATACATAATTGAATGCTATAGACCAAGGTGTGTGCAGCAAATGCATAAATAGTTGATATGCATATTTAAGGTTGAGCAGCCTACACTTTGCTCGCAGCGATGTTCACAAATGGGTTGTGTGGGCTTCAGTGAGATAGTTTATCTTCGTGATTTTATATGAGAGCGGTGGAAGTGTGGGCTATTCAGGAGCATGGAGATGTAGCATACATTGTCATAACCTTTTAGAGCCATTACAATGCGCAGGAAGGGTTTACTTAATGTTTTACTTTAACTTAGAGTGGAGAAAGACTTTCTCAGCAGCAGGTGGGAATGAAAGTTGAAACTAAAGAAGTGCTGATCAATAAAGATTTAACTGATGTAGATGCAGTTAAAGGAATATTCCGGTTAAGGCTGCATGATATTGGAAAAAACTAACATTACAATTTTTTTCAACCCTGCGATATATATTGCGATATTAAAAAATAGAGGAATTTTCACCAGATGACCTGAATAGCACTTTATGCTATGCTGCACTGCTGAAATCTTGTGGACAGTTAACCTGCACTGATCTTACCTCTTTTCGGCGACACCGATTGATGGCTGGCAGGATAATCTGATTGGCAACTGAGTAAAGAATGAATTTGATTGGTGGATGCAGCACATGCAGAGTCACACGCAGTGTATGTCAGTCAGCTACCCTTGAAATTAACAGAGTTCATTCACCTCCGACATCGCAGGCTCTGCGTTGTGACTATTGCGCACACGTACACTGCAATGACGATGCTCAAACGATACATTGTGCAGCCCTAATTCTGGTGTAAATTTCAGTTATGGTCAAACACACTGTAACACAGAGTTGATTGATTGATTGATTGATATCAGGTCCCAGCCATAGTACTCGCCATCAAACAGCCGCTTGTTTGTGGGGAAGCTCTGATGAGTCGATCACCGAGTGCAGCAGCAGTAATAATCATCATATTAATCACTTTGGACTGCAGATGTGGCAGTACTTCTCACTAAGCGTCTCGGTCTCATTGCATTTTCATGAAGCAATGATCACAAATGTTCTACCTTGAGCTGCAAATCTCCTCTGCACTCAGTGATCGATTCGTCAGGGCTACCCCACAAACAAGCGGCTGCTGGAGGAGAGTGGGTGAGTTGTGTTTAGTCTCTTTGCTAAAGAAATCAGGCAAAGCTAAAAAGATGTTTGATGGCTATTACTATGGCTGGGACCCTATATGTACTGTTGATGAAGTTAGGTGCTGTTCTGAGCATTATCTGTGGCTATAGAGTGGCTTTTTGGTTGAGGTTTGTGTATGGAGACGTAGACCGCTGTGTATTGCTGTTGTGCGGTCGTTACTAAAGTTGGTATAACTAGAGAAGCAAGCAGTCGGCAACATTCATCTCTCGAGAGGGTGTCGGAGGGTGTCAGAAGGCTATTTGGGGTCCCCCACCACCCTGAAAAACATTAGCAAATTATTGTAATTATGGAATTTATGTGATTCATATGCCCCCGTTTTAGCTGATGCATTGTCTGCTTTACTTTCATGACCGTTCTACGGGCAGGAGTCATTCATGCCTCGCACAAAAAACAAACGCTTGATCCTCATTTCAGTGAATGTGTTAACAAGTCAGGGTTTTCAGACTGCTGGCGAGAATCAAAAGAACAGAGGGCCATTTTTTAGCGCCAGCAAAATTAGTTTGTTCATCAATCTTGCATTTCCCTGGCATTAAATGTAAAAATTGATGATGCTTCCTGAATACTTTGAAGGTAAAAGCTCTTTTTTTCGGTCTTGTGCTTGCCTTCATTGTAACACATTGGGTTTATTTGTAAATCTGTTTGTAGATTTACATAAAAGACACAAAAAATCTACTCATCAGATCCATTAACACGGAAAAAGACTGATTTGATTGTGAGCGTGTTTAGGTTACATGTTCAGGAATGCCTATCAATTGTGTTAACACATTTGGTAGTCATTATTGGCACACAAACCTACCTGTCAATAACAAATGCTTATCAAAAAGGAAAGTGTGGATGTGTGAGAGAGAAAAACCTTATTTCGAGTAAAGTGGAACTAGGAAAAAACAGGCTATTTTATATCCTCTGAGTGGTGGTGTGGCACTCGCCTGCATAGCACCATTGGTGTGGTCTGTAACAACTCAAGACCCTGCGTGGGCTTCATTATAGGCCTGCTTCTGTGGTTTGTGGTGGATCAGTGGAGTCATAAGCCACAGCTCCAGTGGGTTACCCTTGTGTCCTGTGGATAAAAATCAACCCCGCTGTTGTGTCCATGTTGCGAATGCACCGGTTATGACCATGATTGACTTACTGTCTCATAGGCCTATGAATATTTTTCATCTATAACATTTAGGTTGCAAAATCTTGAAATGAGGGTGCGATACATACTGTGTAGAATTGGCCCTCATAAGCTGACAGGGCATCAAGTTAATCTTTCTATCTATTATTGAGCCTGTAAAGGCTCAGGTCCTGAGTATTTTAAAGAGAAAGAGAAAGCCTCATAATTGCTAAACCTTCCTGAAAATGCTTAAAATAGAAGAAAAGAGGTAAAAATCAACATATCTCAGTAGGAATTCAAAGCGTAAGGTCTTTTTTGGATGCATTATTGAAAAGGCAGGGTCCCTGGTAAAATCCCCTGCTTCACGAGCCCACGTCACACTCTGATTTGAAATTGTAATGAGGTGCAGGTTTTCAGAGGATATCCTCCCCAGAATGAGGCGCACTCACTCATTAGATTGGACACGGTAATGAAAATAGAAAAGATTTTTACACTGCCAACAGAAAATCAGGGGAATCAGCTCCAAACCATCTCTTTAATAGCATGCATTTTTTTTCCATGAATATTAATTATTCACAGCTATCTATGCATAGCTGAGTGTGAATATTTCTTTTGCAGCAGCTTTCATAGAGCTCATTTGAATATCTTTCTTAAAGCATCTCTCCTCCTTGTAGTGGTTTGTTGTGCATTTACATCTTGGTGTCTCTTAGGAAAGTCTCTGCTGCTGGCCTCTTCTGCCTCTTCTCCACAGGAGCTTTTGGGCAATAAGTGCCTCATTTAGCAAAACATCTGCATTGTTAGAGTGATGTAAAATTTTTTTTAGCTTCCTGCCAATCAGAGGATTTTAAACTGTTGACCCTGAGACCACATTTACAGCCGCAACCTTCAGAAAACAACTTCTTAAAGCACTTCTTGATAATTTGACATTTTAGAACGCAGCCAGACTTGATGTACACTCCAGACATGACGGAAAGCTTTATCATTTCTATGCAATATCTGACTAACCCAGGCCTTTGTTTACAGCGCACGGCATGCTGTGAGAAATATAATTCAGCGAACTTTTTACTATTCACTCACAAGCCCCATCAAAATTCCATCAAATATCCCGCTGACAGACGTTCTTGTCAATCCGAAGACGCAATCCATCACTGCGCAGTCTGGGGTGGTATTTTGCTCAAGAGAGATTGCTTCCTTGTTCAGTTCAGAGGCATCTATACGAAAGCTTCTTCAGCGCCCAGAGAAAATGCAGGGAAAAATATCATTTGCATATGAATTGGTAGCTGTAAACCTTTGTATCATGTCTGAAAATAAGAGCAGCAGTGCAGATTGCTTCATCTCTTAAGGAAGTTTCAAAGCCCCTGTTGCGTGTACACACACACACAGACACACACACACCTCTCACACATAAAGTTGGGATTTTATTTTGCACCTCTGCCACAGGGGTTGCATTTCTTGATAGGTGGTGTATCTTTCTGCCAGCACAATTAGCATACAGCCGATGAAACACCCACCTCAAATTAGGCTGAATCCAGCTGCATCAGACCACGGAGCTCTTTGGGTTATACACATAGACTGTATGTACTATCCTCAACTTACTAGCAGAATTACACATGTGCACAGCCTGCTACACAAAAGGTTCCAGGGCCCTGTCTGAATGATCTAAAATGCATAGTCCAAACTGCATGGCTCAAAGTGGATTACGGCATTTTTAAGAGCATTTTGCATTGAGAGACACAACAAGTTTGCTATGTGAGGCACAGGGTGCCAGGTAGCCAAGGTCTCCCGTGTAGTAACATTAATTAAACCAATCAGAACATCTGCTGCCATTCCCTGTGAGGGCTGGGCATGTCTGCAGGAAGGTGTGCTGCTTTTTACACAGCTGATTTCGGAGTTTCAACTAAACTGGACTGAGTTTACGTCAGCTTGTTTAACAGCAGTTTGTACAGGGTGGGTTGCTCTAAAATTTTCTCAGATTAAAAGTTAATGAAAATGTTTACCTCCATTAACCCTAGAACACTATCCCTGGGTGATTTTCATCTGACCAAACATGTTTACGTGATTTTCATTATGTTGCGTTTGTCTGAGTATCATGGGTCCCTGGGTAGCATGAAGGCATTTTTGTTTCCCCAATCCAAAATCCGCTTTTCCCTGCAGGCAGGTGTTTGGGTGATTTTCACCCGGCAATAGTGATAGAGGGTAAAGTAGGTTTGGGGGGATTTGATAGCTGCATGTAGGGAATAAGGTCAGTAAGAGTGGTCCTGGAATTTGCATGCTATCTGTTTTAGCGCAGTGGTTATGAATAACTATCAGAAAGTAGTGATTTTGAAGGAATCCATATTGTGATAAGAAATATTTTAGTCAGCAGGTCATTTTTACTCACTCAAAATACACCATATTTTGGTTCTCTCTCCTGCAGCTGTTATTATGCCAAGGACTATATATATATATATATACATATATATTAGGAATTTTTTGTTCATGAATCCCTAATTTCAGTTATTTTGTTGCATTTTTATATGGTCCCCTCATGGTACTTTTTTTCCTCCCTTTGGACATTACACATTTATAAATAAAAGAAAACGACTTTAATTTGTCATGTATTGTCCTATTTTGATATATTTTGATGACAAGTACTTTTTCTTGGGTATATTATTTCGGGTGAGAATCACCCGGTGATAATGATGGTGTTACTAACTTTAGCGATAGTGTTCTAGGGTTAAGGCTGATCTAACAAATCTTCTCAACAACAGAGAGAGTTCACAGTAATGTTAAAATTATAACTTGGACTGTCACAGTATCTGATTTTTATCTTGTGATTCTTGAGGTTGTAAAATATCAGGATAATCAGTCAGATTGAGGACAGTGAAGACAAGGATGAAGCGATGCACCATTTCACTCATGAAGTCAATTTGATTATATTTTCTCATCCATTTCTAATAATATTCAAATTTATGATTTATCTAGCTGATTTATTTATCAGCTGAGCTTGAGATAACTCCTGGAGTTTAAGGTACAAATTCATGAATCCTTTTTGATTGTGCTATTAGATTAACATCAGGTTTGAGGGCAGGACTGGTGGTCTGTGCTTCTTTACAGACCAACAGTCTAGTTTTCAGCTTTCAGGTTTTATAATGTATTTCAGCTGAGAGGGCGCAAAATCTTCACAGTTTTGAGTGGCAATTTAATTTGTGTTCACAACCTGTGGCGGCAGCCTGAAAATGAGCTGATCGGCAGAACGTAAAAAACATTTATTAGATATATGACACATTAAAATAGCTGTAGACTACTCGCTTTGGCACATCCTATTTTCTTGGATCCACTTTCTCCAATTGCAGACATCTTCAAAATCAAGACAAATCATGGAACTTTCTTGATGCTGTAGCATTGAATATAGATAATCACTACAGAGATGTAATGGTCAAGAAAAAGTCTGGGAGCTTTTTAAACGCTTAGGTGCAAGCATTAAAATTTCAAGGATACAAAATATGATGAAACATTTCTTAAAAAGAGATCATCTTGCATCACGCAGAGTCAGTGAAATATGTACATCTGCCAGAATTGTGGGGTAATTCATTTAACAATCATGCACTATTGGGGTAAAAATAAGAAAGTTTCCCTGATTTGGATATAACTTATTTAAACTAGATTAAAAGTTGAATTAAAAATCCTCTTCAGAGACAGAGAAGTGTCTTTTATCCACGCTACCTTATCTCACCTCATCACTTTTGAGATGGTCTCTGCTGAAGAAGAGCCATGTTCGTGTTTAGTCCTCCAGAGTATTGCCAGCAGTGCCAGTTACGGTCACAGTGACATTGGAGGTGGTGGGGATGGCAGTCATCGTTTCGCTCGATTACAGGCAGTAGTCGGAGAGACAGAGAAAACACGGGTAGACTGAGATGTCATCCCTCAACTCTCATGACTTAACCCCAAACAGCTGTGATTGTTCAGTCGCCTTTCTTTGACAGAAATAAGTCATCAGGTGATATTTTTTCGAGCTTTTTTTTTTTTTGGGACCTTGTGGAAATGCTGCCAAAATCTGAAGACAGGAAAGAAATTCAACAGAAAAAGACAAAAGAAATGGAGAGGTAACTGGGCTTGTTGTGAATCTGAGTGTGGTCTGCTGAATGTGATGGATTTTGCATATAGCTTTCCCTCCATTATTGCATCCAGAGACAGATTCCTAACAGTTTACACATAAAGGAAATGAACCCGCGGAATCACATGCAATTGCGCGATAACAAGTTGTCTTTAGCCACATAGGCTAACCACATAAGCAGTAGATTATGTCCTTCCAGTTTTCCCTTTCTCTCAGCAGTACTGGAGATCAAACTGTATCGCTGCTGTAACTCAGGGAGCACATTTAAAGGCGCACACAATTAGACACACAATCCTAATGAGTGTAACATGGAAATATGCCTGGAAGTTGGTGAAGTGTCCTTTTAATTAAATTGAGTTCACTGTCTCATTGTCTGTAATGAAACAGATATCTCCTGTGCGTGTGTTTTCCTGAGGTTAGTGACAGGTTGTATTTCCTAATTAAAACTTTCTGTTGGTAAATTTCAGGGAGTCACTCTTTTCAAGGATGATTACAAACCTGAACGCCACCACCGATTCACATCGTTAGTCAAACAGAGATGTTGATTCGGCTTCTCCCCTTTTTTTGTGAACAGTTTGTAGATAAAAAAAGAGCAGCTATGTCAAAGGTTAACACCATAAAAACCTACATTTTTACTGTGTTCACATTCACTCCTTCTTCTTAACTGCCAATTATATTTAATTATGTCATCACTGAAACTTGCTTTCTTTGCCACTCCAGAGGCAGTACGCTCTTCTTGCTGCTGCTATGTTTGCTTTGCTGATGCGTCACTTGACAGTAGCTGTCAGAAACTTGTGGTACGGCATCGACGAGCTGTATTAGCGGAGGGCCGGCTAGTGCAGCGTCTATTACTGCGGAGGCAACTCTGAGTCTGCAGTAAATGTGACAGCGGCCGATAAAGACGGCACCTTCATCAAACTATCTTAGTGTGATTTATCATCGTAGACTTTGGATACAACAATAGTGTTATTGAATATGGAGGAATAGAGGAAGAAGGAGTTGATCGTATCTGCTGTATATTATAGTGTTTGTGATGGAACATTATTTTACCATGAAATGATAATTAATCAAGAGCTGCTTTTTTATTATCACTGACTAGTTATATCAGCAAATAAGCTTTTTAAATGAGTAAAAAAAGGCTGTTATTTTCTTTCATGAATCTCTTAGTGATGAATGAGGCAAAAAGCAACCAAGAGGACAAACAGTACAGGGCAAAATTATTAATAATCATGATGATATTGATCCTTTTTCATAAGAATATGTCAGTCCTCTGTGTGTCTGCTCAGTCTGTGTAAAGTGAGGACTTTCATACAGGAGGCCTCTATGAGAAGTAAGCATGTGTTCAGCAAAGTTGATCAAGTTAAAGTTTGTCACAACCAGTGCTGGGTAAGTTACTTTCAATTAGTAACTTACTTTCAAGGTAACTAGTTACTAGGGAAAGTAATTTTTTATTTATTTTTTTACTCTAAATTCTCTTATTAAAGGGATATTCTGGCGTAAAATTAAGTTTAGGGTCAAACACACCGTAACACAGAGTTAGACAACCCCATGGAGAGATGAATGTTGCCGATCGCTTGCCGAACAGTACATATAGGGTCCCAGCCATAGTACTAGCCACCAAACATCTTTTCAGCGTTGCCTGATTTCTTTAGCAAAGAGACTAAACACAACTCACCAACTCTCTTCCTGCACCCGTTTGATTGTACGGAGACCTCGGACAAGTCCATCATGGACTACAGCGGGGTGATGCAGCTCAAGGAAGAACATTTATGATCATTACTTCATGGAAATGCAATCAGACTGAGGCGCTAAGGCAGAAGAACTACTGCATCTGCAGTGCAAAATGATTAATATGATGATTATTACTTCAAGGAAATGACAAAGTAACGGTTTTATCCCTGTAATGTGTTGCCTCCCTAACTGGAGGGAGGCTGCCAGTCCTCTGGCTTGCTTACATGTACATTAAGTCCTATGATTGGTTGCACATCTTCCACAGCATACCTGGCAATCAGTCTGTTCAGCTGTGTCTGGGTTATAGACTGTGCAACAGGATTTGTAAAATCAAGCTTTCGTTGTTTGGCTGGAGTGGCTCCTCCTTTGGCGTCAGCGGGGCTAACGTTAGCAGCGTCACCTGTGTTACCTTCAGGGTCTTTTTCGACTAGATTGGGAGATGCATGTTATTTCTGAAGATGTTTCATCAGCTTGGAATTGCTGGTCTTTGATGTGGATAGAGTTGTCGAACCTCCACGGGTCACCACAATATTCCTCCCCTTCTCTTTTACCGTCAGAGAGGAAAAATAATCTGCATATTTCCACGAGAGAAATCCCACACCTGGACTGTTGTGGACTGCCGCCATTGTTGTTTTCGTTCATTCACTTGCACGTTGCTGCGTCATGTGTGCTTCACGTCCACCACAGAAATGGTCGTCCTGAGTTGTATGTGAAGTATCAAGTAACGAGCACACTGGTCACAATAGATTGAGGGCAGAGGCAAAGCTACATAGACAGTAATGATATTAGTAGAAAATGAATCACTAATATCTTCTATTTTGCCACAGTATGCTGTATTCTTATTGAGTTTTCCAGGTAGAAAACCTGGTTTCTCAAAAATAGCATAAGGGCTTAATCTAGTTTCTCAAATTGTCATACTACATTTACATGCACAGACGCAAAAAAACAGCATATCTACGACACTGATGTTTTTCAGTGCCTGCAGTGGAGTCCACATTTTACAAGATTTTTCAACCACAGCGACGAAAAGTCCTCTTCGAGCTAAACGTACAAGGTTTAAATAAAACACTGAAAAGGGCATGATGACAAGAAAAGGGCAATTTGAACCTTTTTGATGGATTCAATTGACCGCTGCTGAGATATTCAGGGGGGGAAACATTGCTGGCAGGCAGAGAATAAAAATGAACTGACCTAACTCCAACTTTAAGGGTTTTATTTGTATTCACAGCCAGAAAAAGAGCTGCTGCTTTTTTTAAACTTCTCCACTACACTGACCTCCATTATTAAAAGTCCAAACCGCAGATTGGACACAATCAAATACCATCTCTTCAAGCAGGAGATGAAAACAAAGGGAAAAAAAAGTTGAAAGTTTGACTGAATTTCAGCCACATTGTTTTGATCATAATGGCAGACTAAACAGACTCTTTCTACCAAGTGGAACAGCTTATTTATTCCAAGAGCCATGGCTGATTTTCTGTTTATTTAAGAGGCATTATAATCAAGAAAACTGACTAGAAAATAGAACACAAAGAATAACATCATCAGATTGTCAAAGAAACCACAGAAAGAAGAGAGAGGCACACAAGATACCACACTGCAGCCTAAAACCTGAATGGTACATTTTTTGACTGATTGTATATTTTATACCTCTATTAATGTGTTTTTAATGAAACATATGATGCAGAAAACAGTGTCTTAGTAGATTTAGGAATGGCGCCATCAAACACACGTCATCTGCAGCAGAAGATGCATGATTGACAGCAACAACAAGCGTCTTTTTTTGCTCTTAAGTAGAGGTCAATATTCTCCTGACCTGCGAAAAACTGATACTTTTGCCACCTCTCAGTTACAGCATCATGAACACCTGCTGCAGCAGCAGCAGATCCTCCTGAACCACTTCAGGATCCTTCTGGTTCTGGGTTTTTTGACCCAAACCCGCACTGGCTCATTTGGACTCTGAAGAGCTGTGATGGGAGCTTCTGCTGGCAGATACAGGAGGTGATGGAGTTGGCACCATCAGAGTCTGGGTGGATGGTTCTTTCTTGGTTACTTGCTCTTCCTCAATGTTGTCCTCACCCTCCAGGTCTGAAACCAGGACTGGAGGTTCAGCTTGCTGACTGACTGAGTTTTATTTCCACAGAGGTGAAACTAGTCTGAACTCTTATCTCAACAACATTTATGTGTCAGCAGGATCTGCCCAGCACATGCAGGTTACAACCAACCTCAACTGTAGATCTGAAGGGGATAGGGAAAGAGGAAGTGTGTGTGCAGAGTGGAGTGTGCTGTGTGATAGACAAGGGAGGGGAAATCCAGCTCTTGTGTAATCCAGGAAGAGGAGCAGCAATGTGAACTTTACCCTTAATTCCTTTGAGATAGGGCGTTTAGTGTGTGTATGTGTTTGTATTCAGTCTGTTTTAAAATGCTGTCAAGTTGTGATCTGTTCAAGAAGATACCAACTTAAAGTGCAGTTTAACTACAAGTCAATCAGCACACACACACAAACCACAGATATATTAATTTTTACACCTTATATCATGGTTTTTCCTCTCATTTACAGAAAACCTGATCCAGCTGCAGGACTCACCTGTAACACCTGTGAGTGAACACATCATGAAAATCCTGCAGATCACATGAATCCATGACACAGATGGACCGATAACATGACATCCAGCAGAAACAGACAAACTAAAGAAAAACAGGCGAGGTGTTTTAAATGACTCAGTTTGATGATTTTAATTGTTTTCACCAAAAATCAGAGACTTCACTACAATCTACAACAGTCAGAAACATAAAAACAGTCGGACAAATGCATGTGATTATTAGTAGAGTGATTGAAAATCTCATAACAACATGTTGATCTGCCAAAAGTATTATTTTAGATGCCTATACAAACACACTGATCCAAAAGAAACAGACAGAATATCCATCGATAACATGAACACAAATATTCAGCAAACAGAGAAAGCAGTTGGATTTGGAAAAGGAAATTAGGTTGTGCTTTTTCATCTGTCTTTTGTTAGTTTGACGTCACTTTTTCTATAATCTCAGACCTTCAAAATCTGCACCAACTGAAGGTGATTTGAACAAATTATCATTTTGTTTTGGTGAGACTAATTCACAAAAATGTACAAACCAAAACATTTCAAGAGTTCAATGATCTCCTTACATGTTTTCGGTCTGATGGACTCAAAATTCTGTTTATTTCAGTTCAATAAACTCAGCAGAGCCTCTATAGGATAACCCCAGTCCAGCATGTAGCGGCTGAGTGAATGTGGTCTGGACTCTGTGGAGGAGAGTCATGGTTTTAGAGATGCTGTAGAAAGACAGAATACCTGCTTTGTAATCCAGGTACACTCCTACTCTGGAGGACCAAGGACCTGAGACATGATTGCGCACTTTGTTGTGTATAAATTCATACCTGTCTTTATAACAGTCTAACGTCCAAGATTTGTCATTGTCTCCAAAAAAACAATCCCTTGAGTTCCCTGCTCTGCTGATAGTCTTGTATGAGACTGCTACACCAACCTCATCCTCTCTCCACTCCACCTCCCAGTAACAACGTCCAGTCAGACTCTCTCTACTCAGGACCTGGATCCAAAAAGTGAATCTGTCTGGATGATCAGGATAAGACTGTTGTTCTTCTGTATATGTTGCTCTTCTGTTTCTATCAGATAATAACAGCTCTCTGTTTGCTGTGTTTGGATCCAGTGTGATTCTTTGTGAATATCTTAAGAAATCAGCTCTGGTCTTGGGTTCTGGTTCTGGTGGTTCTGACAGTGAAACATCCACTTGAGTCACTGCCTGTGAGACCTTTTTCCACGTCTTTGTCAGAAGATCCTGGAGTTTATCTCTGACCTCTGACACAGCTGCTGTCACCTCCTCAAAGTATCTCTGAGGACGGATGTTGATCCTGGATGAGTCTGCAGGTTGACCCGGTCCTGACAGTGAGGGGTAGCTGAGCAGAAACTGGTTGTGGTCCTCTGTGAGTGAGAGCTTCAGCAGATCAGCGTCTTTCCTCTTCAGCTCAGTGATCTCCTGCTGCAGCTTCTCCTGAAGCTCTTTGACTCGACTCACTTCACGTTTCTGCTGGGATCTGACCTGCTGCTCCACCTCAGAGTGACGTTTCCTCATGAGACGGATCAGCTGGCTGAAGATCTCCTGGCTGTGCTCCACAGCTTTATCAGCAGAGTCGTTGATAGCCTCCACCTCCTGTTGGAGCAGCTTCACATCTTTCTCTCTGTTCTGGATTCTCTGCTGGATGTTTTCTCGACTCTCCTCCAGATCTTTCTGCCTCTCAGTCCTTTCTGCTGCAGCTGGGACTGTGTCGTGGCCTTTGTGTTGGTCCCAACAGCAGAGGGAACAGATAGACTTCTGATCAGTGCGACAGAACATCTTCATCACCTCATCATGACGAGAGCAGACATTCTCCTGGAGATTCTTGGAGGGCTCCACCAGCTTGTGTTTCTTAAATGTAGGTGATTCATAATGAGGCTGGAGGTGAATCTGGCAGAAAGAAGCCAGACATTGCAGACAGGACTTGACAGCTTTCAGTTTTCTCCCACTGCAGGAATCACAGGCCACATCATCAGGTCCAGCATCAGAGGGATCATCAGGAGCAGCTTGAAGTCTGCTCTTCTTCAGTTCCTCCACTAAACCTGCTAACATGGTGTTTTTCATCAGGACAGGCCTCGGTATGTAGGTCCGTCTGCACTGAGGACAGCTGTAGATCTTCTTCTCATCCTCAGTATCCCAGTGGGACTGAATACAGATCATGCAGAAGCTGTGTCCACAGGAAAGAGTCACCGGATCCTTCAGTAGATCCAAACAGATGGAACAAGAGAAAGATTCACGGTCCAGCTGAACTCCTGTCTGCGCCATTTCAACACTCAGTGTCGACTGACTGACTGAACTTCCTTCTTCCCAGAAGTTAACAAGTCTGAGCTCTTATCTCAACAACATGTGTGTGTCAGCAGGATTAGATCAGCACATGCTGGTTACACCCAACCTCATTTGTAGATCTGAAGGGGAGGGAACAAGGAAGTGTGTGTGCAGAGTGGAGTGTGCTGTGTGAGAGACGAGGGAGGGGAAATCCGGCTCTAGTTTAACCCAGGAAGAGGAGCGGCGTTGTGAACTTTACCCTTGTCTATTCCTTTAAGAGAACAGTGTTAGTGCGTATATGTGTTTGTGTTCAGTCTGTTTTAAGATGCTGTCAAGTTGTGATCTGTTCAAGAAGATACCAACTTAAAGTGCAGTTTAACTACAAGTCAATCAGCACAAACACACATATATATGAATATATATGCACCTTATATCTCTCTCATGATTTTTCCTCTAATTTACAGAAAACCTGATCCAGTTGCAGGACTCACATCTGGGACCTGTAAAACCTCTGAGTGAACACATCATGAAAATCCTGCAGATCACATGAATCCCTGACACAGATGGACCGGTAACATGACATCCAGCAGAAACAGACAAACTAAAGAAAAACAGGAGAGGTGTTTTCAGTGACTCAGTTTGATGATTTTAATTGTTTTCACCAAAAATCAGAGACTTCACCACAATCTGAGCTGAGTCAGAAACATAAAAACAGTCAGACAAATGAATGTGATTATTAGTAGTAGAGTGATTGAAAATCTCATAACAACATGTTGATCTGCCAAAAGTATTATTTTAGATGCCTATACAAACACACTGATCCAACAGAAGCAGACAGAAATATCCATCAATGACATTAATGCAAATATTCAGCTAACAGAGAAAGCAGTTGGATTTGGAACGGGAAATAAGGTTGTGCTTTTTCATCTTTCTTTCCTTATTTTGACGTCACTTTTTCTAAAGTCTCAGATCTTCAACATCTGCACCAACTGAAGGTGATTTGAACATATGATCATCTTGATGTTGTTGTTGCTATCAGACTTAAGTGAAGATTTTTCAAAATGAGAAATGCAAACAATCAAAGTTATCCACCATCACTGTCCTTAAAGATGCGACCAAATCAGCATCTCTAGAAAAGAATAAAAAAGCTAAAATGAAGAACTAAACCGAGAGTTTTTGGTGAGACTAATTCACAAAAATGTACAAACCAAAACATTTCAAGAGTTCAATGATCTCAATACATGTTTTTGATCTGATGGACTCAAAATTCTGTTTATTTCAGTTCAATAAACTCAGCAGAGCCTCCATGGCATAACAACAGTCCAGCATGTAGCAGCTGAGTGAATGTGGTCTGGACTCTGTGGAGGAGAGTCATGGTTTCAGAGACGCTGTAGAAGGACAGAATACCTGCCTTGTGATCCAGGTACACTCCTACTCTGGAGGACCGAGGACCTGAAACACGAGTGATGACTTTGTTGTGTAAAAATTCATACCTGTCTTTATAACAGTCTAACCTCCAAGATTTGTCATTGTTTCCAAATAAACAATCACGTGAGCCCCCTGCTCTGCTGATAGTCTTGTAAGCGACTGTTACACAAACCAGGACCCCTCTCCCCTTCACTTCCCAGTAACAACGTCCAGTCAGACTCTCTCTACTCAGAACCTGAAGAAAATCAGTGAATCTGTCTGGATGATCAGGATAAGACTGTGGTAGTCTTGTCCCTGTTGCTCTTCTGTTTCTATCAGATAATAACAGCTCTCTGTTTGCTGTGTTTGGATCCAGTGTGATTCTTTGTGAATATCTTAAGAAACCAGCTCTGGTCTTGGGTTCTGGTTCTGCTGGTTCTGAGAGTGAAACACCCATGTCAGTCACTGCCTGTGAGACCTTTGTCCACGTCTCTGTCAGAAGATCCTGGAGTTTATCTCTGACCTCTGACACAGCTGCTGTCACCTCCTCAAAGTATCTCAGAGGACGGATGTTGATTCTGGATGAGTCTGCAGGTTGACCCGGTCCTGACAGTGAGGGGTAGCTGTGCAGAAACTGGTTGTGGTCCTCTGTTAGTGAGAGCTTCAGCAGATCAGCGTCTTTCCTCTTCAGCTCAGTGATCTCCTGCTCCATCTTCTCCTGAAGCTCCTTGACTCGACTCACTTCACGTTTCTGCTGGGATCTGACCTGCTGCTCCACCTCAGAGCGGCGTTTCTCCATGAGACGGATCAGCTGGCTGAAGATCTCCTGGCTGTGCTCCACAGCTTTATCAGCAGAGCCGTTGATAGCCTTCACCTCCTGTTGGAGCAGCTTCACATCTTTCTCTCTGTTCTGGATTCTCTGCTGGATGTTTTCTCGACTCTCCTCCAGATCTTTCTGCCTCTCAGTCCTTTCTGCTGCAGCTGGGACTGTGTTGTGGCCTTTGTGTTGGTCCCAACAGCAGAGGGAACAGATAGACTGCTGGTCAGTGCGACAGAAGATCTTCATCACCTCATCATGACGAGAGCAGACGTTCTCCTGGAGCTTCTAAGAGGGCTCCACCAGCTTGTGTTTCTTAAATGTAGGTGATTCATAATGAGGCTGGAGGTGAATCTGGCAGTAAGAAGCCAGACACTGCAGACAGGACTTGACAGCTTTCAGTTTTCTCCCACTGCAGGAATCACAGGCCACATCATCAGGTCCAGCATTAGAGGGATCATCAGGAGAAGCTTGAAGTCTGCTCTTCTTCAGTTCCTCCACTAAACCTGCCAACATGGTGTTTTTCATCAGGACAGGCCTCGGTATGTAGGTCCGTCTGCACTGAGGACAGCTGTAGATCTTCTTCTCATCCTCAGTATCCCAGTGGGACTGAATACAGATCATGCAGAAGCTGTGTCCACAGGAAAGAGTCACCGGATGCTTCAGTAGATCCAAACAGATGGAACAAGAGAAAGATTCACGGTCCAGCTGAACTCCTGTCTGCGCCATTTCAACACTCAGTGTCGACTGACTGACTGAACTTCCTTCTTCCCAGAAGTAAACTAGTCTCAGCTCTTATCTCAACAACATGTGTGTGTCAGCAGGATTAGATCAGCACATGCTGGTTACACCCAAACTCATTTGTAGATCTGAAGGGGAGGGAACAAGGAAGTGTGTGTGCAGAGTGGAGTGTGCTGTGTGAGAGACGAGGGAGGGGAAATCCGGCTCTAGTTTAACCCAGGAAGAGGAGCGGCGTTGTGAACTTTACCCTTGTCTATTCCTTTAAGAGAACAGTGTTAGTGCGTATATGTGTTTGTGTTCAGTCTGTTTTAAGATGCTGTCAAGTTGTGATCTGTTCAAGAAGATACCAACTTAAAGTGCAGTTTAACTACAAGTCAATCAGCACACACACAAAAACACAGATATATTAATTTTTATGCACCTTTTTATCTCTCTCAAGATTTTTCCTCTCATTTACAGAAAACCTGATCCAGCTGACGGACTCACCTGTAACACCTGTGAGTGAACTCATCATGAAAATCCTGCAGATCACATGAATCCCTGACACAGATGGACCGGTAACATGACATCCAGCAGAAACAGACAAACTAAAGAAAAACAGGAGAGGTGTTTTCAGTGACTCAGTTTGATGATTTAATTGTTTTCACCAAAAATCAGAGACTTCACCACAATCTGAGCTGAGTCAGAAACATAAAAACAGTCGGACAAATGCATGTGATTATTATTTTTTGATTGAAAATCTCATAACAACATGTTGATCTGCCAAAAGTGTCATTATAGATCTCTTTACAAACACACTGATCTAACAGAAACAGACAGAAATATCCATCGATGACATGAATACAAATATTCAGCTAACAGAGAAAGTGGTTGGATTTGGGACGGGAAATTAGGTTGTGCTTTTTCATCTTTCTTTTGTTATTTTGACCTCACTTTTTTCTAAAGTCTCAGATCTTCAATATCTGCACCAACTGAAGGTGATTTGAACATATGATCATCTTGATGTTGTTGTTGCTATCAGACTTAAGTGAAGATTTTTCAAAATGAGAAATACAAACAATCAAAGTTATCCACCATCACAGTCCTTAAAGATGTGACCAAATCAGCATCTCTAGAAAAGAATAAAAAAGCTAAAATGAAGAACTAAAACAAGAGTTTTGGTGAGACTGATCCACAAACCAAAACATTTCAAGAGTTCAGTGATCTCATTTACATGTTTTTGATCTGATTGAGTCAAAATTATGTTTATTTTACTTCAATAAACTCAGCAGAGTCTCCATTAGACCATAATAATGTCAGTCCAGCATGTAGTGGCTCAGTGAATGTGGTCTGGACTCTGTGGAGGAGAGTCATGGTTTCAGAGACGCTGTAGAAGGACAGAATACCCGCTTTGTGATCCAGGTACACTCCTACTCTGGAGGACCAAGGACCTGAGACACGAGTGATGACTTTGTTGTGCCTAAATTCATACCTGTCTTTATAACAGTCTAATCTCCAAGATTTGTCATTGTTTCCAAATAAACAATCATGTGAGTCCCCTTCTCTCCCGATAGTCTTGTATGAGACTGCTATCCAAACCTTGTCCCCTCTCCGCTCCACCTCCCAGTAACAACGTCCAGTCAGACTCTCTCTACTCAGGACCTGAAGAAAATCAGTGAATCTGTCTGGATGATCAGGATAAGACTGTTTTTGTTTTGTATATGTTGCTCTTCTGTTTCCATCAGATAATAACAAATGTCTTTGTGCTGTGTTTGGATCCAGTGTGATTCTTTGTGAATATCTTAAGAAACCAGCTCTGGTCTTGGGTTCTGGTTCTGGTGGTTCTGACAGTAAAACATCCACTTCAGTCACTGCCTGTGAGATGTTTGTCAATGTCTCTGTCAGAAGATCCTGGAGTTTATCTCTGACCACTGACACAGCTGCTGTCACCTCCTCAAAGTATCTCAGAGGACGGATGTTGATCCTGGATGAGTCTGCAGGTTGACCCGGTCCTGACAGTGAGGGGTAGCTGAGCAGAAACTGGTTGTGGTCCTCTGTGAGTGAGAGCTTCAGCAGATCAGCATCAAACCTCTTCAGCTCAGTGATCTCCTGCTGCAGCTTCTCCTGAAGCTCTTTGACTCGACTCACTTCACGTTTCTGCTGGGATCTGACCTGCTGCTCCACTTCAGAGTGATGTTTCTCCATGAGACGGATCAGCTGGCTGAAGATATCCTGGCTGTGCTCCACAGCTTTATCAGCAGAGCCGTTGATAGCCTCCACCTCCTGTTGGAGCAGCTTCACATCTTCTTCTCTGTCCTGGATTCTCTGCTGGATGTTTTCTCGACTCTCCTCCAGATCTTTCTGCCTCTCAGTCCTTTCTGCTGCAGCTGGGACTGTGTCGTGGCCTTTGTGTTGGTCCCAACAGCAGAGGGAACAGATAGACTGCTGGTCAGTGCGACAGAAGATCTTCATCACCTCATCATGACGAGAGCAGACGTTCTCCTGGAGATTCTTGGAGGGCTCCACCAGCTTGTGTTTCTTAAATGTAGGTGATTCATAATGAGGCTGGAGGTGAATCTGGCAGTAAGAAGCCAGACATTGCAGACAGGACTTGACAGCTTTCAGTTTTTTCCCACTGCAGAAATCACAGGCCACATCTTCAGGTCCAGCATCAGAGGGATCATCAGGAGCAGCTTGAAGTCTGCTCTTCTTCAGTTCCTCCATTAAACCTGCTAACATGGTGTTTTTCATCAGGACTGGCCTCGGTGTGAAGGCCTGTCTGCACTGAGGACAGCTGTAGATCTTCTTCTCATCCTCTTTATCCCAGTAGGTTTGAATACAGATCATGCAGAAACTGTGTCCACAGGAAACAGTCACCGGATCCTTCAGTAGATCCAAACAGATGGAACAAGAGAAAGATTCACGGTCCAGCTGAACTCCTTTCTGCGCCATTTCAACACTCACTGTCGACGATGACTGACTGAGTTTCATTTCCTGAGAAGTGAAACTAGTCTGAGCTCTGATCTCAACAACATGTGTGTGTCAGCAGGATCAGCTCAGCACAGGCTGGTTACACCCAACCTCAACTGTAGATCTGAAGGGGAGAGAACAAGGAAGTGAGTGTGCTGTGTGAGAGACGAGGGAGGGGAATTTTTACAATCCAGGTAGGGGAGTGGCAGTGTGAACTTTATACTCTCAAACTTCAACAAGCAGAGGTTACTAAAGCTGCAGCGGTTCTGAAAATCAACTGCACTAACATTTATTCACCTCATATAAACTCATGGAACAAAGAAACATTTCTACTGTTTTCTCCTTATATCCAAACATATTTAAATATACACCACATATAAACACTCTTCTCTTTCTCTCTGGCTTGTTGACCTCTGAGGGAGTGTTAGTTTTTATAACTTGTATTCTTTCTTTATATGTTGTTTGTTTTGTGCTCGTTGTTTATTCTCTGTTTACCCTTCTCATAATCTTTTCTGAAAATTTTTGTCTCCTCTTTCTCTGCTGTCCAGAAAGGTGATTTTGTTTAATATACCCAGCTGGGCCATGTGGTCTCTCACATATGTCAGGTCTAGATGATCCTAAACAAGAGGAAAGAGGAGCTCAATCTGGTGTAATCTGAGGGTTGATGACTTTGACTATCATTGATGTAACCTCTGACATGTGTGAATATCCTGCCTTGAAATGGCAGTAATGCTGTGGCTTCTGACACTAAATTGGGCCAGTGGTTATAGAATGACTTACTGCCCATTGAGCATGGTGTGGTGGACTAATCCATCAGAACCCCAGGCATTTGAGGCACTGATGAAGCTCGGTCAGTACAGCAGATGCCCCGTGGACAGAGGCTATAGTCGTCGTTGCATTGGTCGCAGAATTATTTTTCATCTTGGCAGCATTTTGTACATTCTGTACGTGTCATCTCCACTCTCTCCCTGTCTCTAAAGTTATCTCAAAGCTGACATTGTTACAAAAAAGGCTCCCTAAGAGACAAAACTCATCAAAACAGCCACCATATTGGGACTTGGTGAAGTTCTTTCTCTCTACAACCTGCTCAGTATTAGTGAGTCAGCTGTTCATAAATAAACCTGGGTATGAAAACAATTATTTCAACTTTTTCCAACTCATTCCCTGCATTGATAAACATCAGCATATGTAACCTGACAGGTTTCAGTTCATTTTGGACATTAGTTCCTCCTCCAGAGCTGCTCTTTGTTGTGGATGCTCTCTTCTACTTTAAATTGCACCCTTTAAGTGTTAACAGCCACTGTGTCTCCATTTACCGGGATTGCAGCGTGTAGCTAAGTGCCTGCAATGTGCGTAACACTGACCCTTGTTATTCAAAGCTGCGGTCCCATTTTCTCTGTGTGTATTTGTTTTAGTTTAACCAGGATGCACCTCACAAACTCTCACTGCTCCCAGAGTCAACACTGGTGATTGTTGAGGGGTTTAAACAACCCTCCAAGCAATTTGTTGCCTGAGATGAATTAATCTAATGAATTGGCTTGAGTCAATTAGATCGAAGGCGGCAAGTCTTTGTCTTTCTTATTTGGTGTGGCATGATAAGTGCACACCCTGTCAGACGATACCATTAAACCACCATTGTCACGGGAGACGCAGGGAATAAATAAAAGTTAAAGCCCCCTTTTCTTCCCTTTCACAGCTGCTGTTTAACGCAGTGTTTGTGTGCATCTGTTCTTATGGTTATTGATGGTAATATGTGGTGTGTGCAGAGGGGACCATCGGATGGTGATGGTTAGAGGTGTTATTGGCCTGTTTACACTGAAAGAGTGCAGGTCATTAGCAGGTAATAATGCACATTTATCGACAAATACGCTCTCACACATATGCACAGGAGCTGAGCCTGTAAAGCAAATACACATCAGTGAGTAATTATCATAAAGCTTTATTTATGCAGCACCTTTTATACAGGCAGGAAGGCTCAAAGTGCTTCAAAGAGAAACGATAAAACATGAGTATAAATCAGAGCAAGTAAAAGAAAACAGGTGCAAATACTGAGTAACAAAAGCAAGCAATCAAATACATAAACATCCCCCTAAAAGCAAGAAAGGGAATATGCAAACAACAGCAAATTATAATAAAGATGTGCAAATAAAGAAAGTTGTAGAAACGGAAAAAAATTAAAGTGCAGTCAGTGAAGATTTTGTCACGTAAAGAAAAGCTTAATTGATGTTAAAAGTAGACTCTCTTTGCATCTTATACAGCTTTGTGACAGCAGTTCAGTGGTTTGAAGCAGGATTACGGTGCCCTTGGTGTTTTATTGTCTTATATTTGTGACATTTGGTCTTTTAGAAACCCAGCTGCAGAGGATATAACAGGCTTTGACTTTAAGAAGGATTATAAAACACAGAATGAGTCATGTAGACTGATGTTAAACTGTCATAAGCCTTGGAAGAAAGTAAAATAATTAATACACAGCTGAGCTGATTTTTCCTGTTACAGCTTTTTGATGGAAGACATTGACTGGCAAATATGAAAAATTTGTTGAAGTGGCTAATTATGGTGCCGACAGGGGAGGCTGTTGAATCTCTTAGTTGACTAAACACTAACATCCCTGTCTGTGACACCAGAGTCCTCCGCCGTAACTTTGTTTAAGTGTGAAATACTATCTTAAAGTCATCATCATGACTCTGAGACCGCTGTTGTATAACTTTACTGTATTACTTGCACTACTTTTGAGTCTTTTTGTCCCAGACGATCACTGTGTCACTCCATCTTTCATTCACTCCATCTGATGGGCAGAGCCGGCCCAAGCCTCAACGGAACCCTAAGCAAACTTTGATTTTGGGGTCCTCTATTTCTGCCAATAATATTGATTTGTTGATCATTCACACACCTTCACAGATCTCTTTGATTAACATTCCATGACATACCTTTATCTCTGCGTTTTTCCTCTTTCTTCCTCTTTTTCCTCTTTCTTTTCTCTGCTCCTGAAGGATATGTCCTTTTTTGTGACATTGTTTTGCCCCAAAACTACCTGCGCTTTGGATGCTCAGTGCACATTGCACAGCAGAAGGCACATAATGGTAGCGGAGCTTTGACTATCGGCAGTAAGAATCGTAGGCCTACATCAGCAGCAGCACTAAAATGTTTTTACTTAACTTCATTTGTACTATAATATATATTTGATCATACAGAAAGCATCACTTATACATGCAAAAAATTAAAAATATTATTTTCTAGTTTGCTTATGCCTTGGGCCGACTCTGGTGATGGGTTCAGTCATGAGAAGTACACTTGGATTGAGTCATCTACAAATAAAATCAATAACAAATTACCCCCCCCCCCCCAAAAAAAAAAAAAATAAAATAATAATAATAATAAAATAATAATAATAATAATAATATAAAAAAAGAAGTTAAAAAAATGTAGATATACATCAGTACAGTTATTGTTTATTGGTGGTTTGAAATCCGTCTGTGAAAAGAAAGAAAAAAAACAGAGTACATTAATCTGTAAAGTAGCTGCATTAAAAAAAATAATCGTCATCTAATTATGTGAGGGATGGCTGAACCTTCACAGTATTCCTTTAAAATGAATAGGGAGCTGTTCATGATGCCTGAATGGCAGGTAGGTGTATGAGTAATGACAAGTCTATTCCTCTGACACTCATTTACATTCACTTTGATTACCTGGCTTCCTTCAGTGAAGAGAGCACTTGGGTGAAGGAGATAGGACCTTCACAGCACAATTACTAGCCTTGACGTGCAGCTCAGCTGGTGAGAGGGCTGATAGCTGCAGATTAGCTTTGCCACCCCGTCCATTTATCCACATTTATCCACGAACAAGAAAGGTTAGTCCAACCAGGAAGGAAGTGAGTCATCCAGGATCCCACGAGAATTAAGTGCTTTATGCAAATATGCGTTCTTGGTCATTAAGCAGATTTGAAGTGCCCCCCATGTGAGTGTCTGGGGTTTTTTCCTCTTTTTCTGTGTGTGTGGGCACTGGGTACATATGACATGATAAATGGAGAGGGTTAGACAGGGGAGCAGAGTGTGGGAAGATCTGTTATGAGTTTCATTTAACAGCAGTGAAATGGAAAAAGGCTTTCACTGAGACTGAGCTTTTCTACATCTTACTGTCTACAGGTTATGCGTTAACTATGGCTGTAACCAAATATGAGGTCTGGATCTTTGTAATTGTTCAAAACAGTCCAGAAAAGTGGTACCAGTCATTGTACAAGGCCTTGGATTGACTCGTGCATTTGTTGGAAGTTCCTGTGGATCTGTTGGTGACTTTTAACAGTGTGCTGCTGTTGCTGTGAGGTGGCTTTCCCTGTGATGAACAGCAAATGACACAGCAGCTGAGAGGCTGAGGAGTAAGGGACAGAAAGGGATGAGTGAGGGTTTATGGGAAACATACGAGAAATAAACCTACATACTGTATGCGTATGAGATGAAGAATGACTGAGGTAAGGATTTATTGCTCCAGCTTCTCTGAACAGCTCATTGAGACATGGTCACAGGTGAAGACAGTACTGAAGGACAAGCCTACCAGGCTCTGTGAAAGACAAGTTCGACTGACAGTTTGAAAGTCCACTCGCTTATTTTTTTCCTCCATTCTGCACTTTGTTGATTCAGCATGACTCAGAAAGTTGCTTGTATTTTTATGTTAACAAGACAACAACAGCCACAAAGTAGCTGTTTATCCTCACCACAGATGACTCCATGTAAACAGAGTCAAGTCTCAACTGTCCATTAACAAAGACTTTCTATGAAGGCTTGAAACATAGACTGTATATATTATGGACAACTTGGCTCCGCCATCCGCCATTATACGCATTTGAAGCAGAATTGCTCTCAGTATTTCCAGGATTTTCTCCACTTCTGCGAACCACCACTTGCGCTGTAGCATTGTACGCATATGTCGGGAGAGTTGCCGAGAGTTACTGTGATGACACTCGGCTCAAGCAGCGTAGCCCGTGGGTGAGCTAAGCAATCTTCGTACACCAATAGGTTGTATCAAGT